GCTCACTGCAACCTCCACCTCCTAGGTTCGAGCGATTCTCTTGCCTCAGCCTCCTGAGTAGCTGAGAATACAGGCATGTGCCACCACACCCAGCAACTTTTTGTATTTTCAGTAGAGATGGGATTTTGTCGTATTGCCCAGGCTGGTCTCGAACTCCTGGCCTCAGGTGATCCACCTGCCTCGGCCTCCCAAAATGCTGGGATTACAGGCATAAGCCACCGTGCCCAGCCCCCATGCTCTTGATTTCCTATCTCTGTACCTGGCTTTTCTCTGACCCCACTGGTGCTATTGTTAGAAGTATCTCATTTGGAGGTGAAAGGAAGGAAAATAAATACAGCAGTCTTATCTTTTAAATAAATACAGCAGTCTTATCTCACTCTCCTCTGAGATCTGTCTGGCCATTGTTGGCAATTTCATCTGAGCATCAGCAATTGCTAGTGACAGCCCTACATCTGGGACTCACTTTCCTGTTTGGTATAAATGTTTCTGGAGATTAGAATAAGGGAAGAGAAGAAGTTTTAGCATTTCTGTATCTCAGTCCCAAATAAGTTTAAAAGGCACATGCAAATGACAATCCCATAAAACAAAATCAACTGAGCAAAAATCAATGCTCTGCCCAATAGGGACCATCTTTAAGAAGCTTTAAGTGAAGTTTACCTTGAAAGTGGTAATAATTTCATTAGAAGCTTCAGGAAGCAAGTGCCTTTATGGCAGAATGACTGATGTTACTCCCAGGACCCCATGGAATTGTAAAATTTTATCTCTGTTCTGTGTAAGTCAACCTAAGTCAAACAGAAATATAGTGTTTGGGTACATTAAAACATCTTTAACTTGTCCTTTCATTTTGGTTTGCCTTTTGACAGGATATAATCACAGATCCATTTAAGCTTGCAGAAGAGTCTGACAGTATGAAGTCCAGATGTGTCCCTGATGCTGCTGGAGGCTGCTGTGGCACAAAGAAAAGCTGCTAAATCTAGAGCCAACCAGGGGATCACAGTAGTGGGCAAGAGTGATGTGCATGTTTTTTAACCTGCTTTTCCACATAGCACAGACCATAAGAAACAACAAACGGGGCTGGACATGGTGGCTCATGCCTATAATCCCAGCACTTTGGGAGGCGGAGACAGGCAGATCACCTGAGGTCAGGAGTTTGATACCAGCCTGGCCAACATGGTAAAATCCTGTCTGTACTGAAAATACAAAAAAATTAGCTGGGCATGGTGGTGTACATCTATAGTCCCAGCTACTAAGGAGGCTGATGCAGGAGAATTGCTTGAACCCAGGAAGTGGAGGCTGCAGTGAGTCAACATTGTGCCACTGTACTCCAGCCTGGGCAACAGAGCAAGACTCTGTCTCAAAATAAAAAAAAAAAAAGAAAAAAAAAAACAACAAATGGCAGAGAGCCACCATATTCCAAATCACTGAAAAAAAAAAATGAATTATTTTCACGAGGCATTGATTAAAGATTCACAGCAAATCATATGAAGACTTGTTAAGCAGACTTTTTTCTATTTCCTAATTCAAAGTTCTGGTGCCACGTAGTGGTCAGAAATGGAACAGAGAAGCTGTCTTAAGGCTTGTTTAAGAAGCAGGAAAGGAGGCCGGGCGCGGTGGCTCAAGCCTGTAATCCCAGCACTTTGGGAGGCCGAGACGGGCGGATCACAAGGTCAGGAGATCATAGACCATCCTGGCTAACCCGGTGAAACCCTGTCTCTACTAAAAAATACAAAAAACTAGCCGGGCGAGGTGGCGGGCGCCTGCAGTCCCAGCTACTCAGGAGGCTGAGGCAGGAGAATGGCGTAAACCTGGGAGGTGGAGCTTGCAGTGAGCTGAGATCCAGCCACTGCACTCCAGCCTGGGTGACAGAGCGAGACTCTGTCTCAAAAAAAAAAAGAAGCAGGAAAGGCATCAGAAGAAGTAACAGTTGGCAGAGGGGCTCAGGAAAAATATCTTCCTTCTGATCTTTTGCATAGCACCTTTTGGACTTTTCATCATGTTTGCTTATTAAACAAAGCTCCTACTGCCATCATACTAATCATGCCAAAGATTGCCAAATCACGTTTGGTAGGAGAACTTTTGAGGTAGCTTTTAAGCAAATGCTTTTTTTTTTTCTTTTTCCTTTTTTTGCAATAGAATTAAGAAAACAAATTAATCATAAACATCTTTAAATCAAGTATCTCAAGAAAACAAATGAATAATAAATATCTCACCCTAATGACTGATGACATAGTGATTATCTGTTGTAAATTATCCTAACTGGATCAGGAATAGAGTTCGATCATTTTTTAAAAAGAGAGCTAAGAGATGTAAAAATGACCAGGCATGGTGGTGTGTACCTGTAGTCCCAGCTACTGGGGAGGCTGAAGCAAGAGGATCACTTGAGCCCAGGATTTCCAGGCTGCAGTGAGCTATGATCGCACCACTGCACTCCAGCTGGGTGACAGAGCAAGACCCTGTCTCTAAAAAACAAATAAATAGGCTGGGAGTGATGGCTCATGCCTGTAATCCCAGCACTTTGGGAGGTCAAGGCGGGTGGATCACTTGAGGTCAGGAGTTCGAGACCAGCCTGACCAACATGGTGAGACCCCATCTCTACTAAAAATTCAAAACTTAGCCGGGTGTGGTGGCATGTGCCTGTAATCCCAGCTACTCCAGAGGCCAAGGCACGAGAATTGCTTGAACCTGGGAGGTGGAGGTTGTAGTGAGCCAAGATCGCGCCACCGCACTCCAGCCTGAGTGACAGAGTGAGACTCTGTCAAAGAAAGAGAGAGAGAGGAAGGGGAGAAGAGGGGAGGGGAGGGGAGGGGAGGGAAGAAAGAGATGTAAACATGGTAAGTTTTCTTTTTCTTTATAAGGTGTCCTGGTTAAACTTTTAGCAAAATGATAGATCTAGTTTTTCCATAGTTAAAGAATATTAAGAACATTAAAGAAAGGTTCAAGGATGGTAAATAACTTGAATTCCAGCTGTACTTGAAGACTTTATATTGGAGGACACAGAGAGGTATAAGTCATGGTCATTATCATCAGGAGCTGGATAATTCAGTTTTTAAATAACAGCTTTCAGGCCGGGTGTGGTGGCTCACACCTGTAATCCCAGCACTTTGGGTGGCTGAAGTGGGTGGATTGCTTGAGCTCAGGAGTTCGAGACCAGCCTGGGCAACATGGTGAAACCCTGTCTCTACTAAAAATTCAAAAAATTAGCTCGGCGTGGTGGTGCGTGCCTGCAATCCCAGCTACTCGAGGCTGAGGCACGAGAATTGCTTGAATCCAGTGGGTGGATGTTGCAGTGACCCAAGATCGCGCCACTGCACTCCAGGCTGGGCAACAGGGCGAGACTCTGTCTCAAAAACAAAAAATAAAAATAAATAAACAAACAGCCTTCAACCAATCAAGGGTTTTGATGTCAACCAGTTGCCCTGGGCTCAGTACAAAAAGAACCAGGGGCATGGCATGGTCCAGGGGATTTTGAATTAGGGGTTTGAGAATTTTAAGGCATGTAAAACATTGGAATGGATGCCATAGGATAGACATCTGTTTTAAGAAAGCTGTTTAATATGGAGAAATTCTCAGATTTTTGAGTAGGTTCAGCTATAGAGCCTAACTTACTATTACAGACAGAGGAAAGAACTAGGTAGTATCTTTTTAAGTCCTATTCACCTCCATGACCTTGATTTTAAACATGCTTGCTTGGTTCTAGTGCGCTGTATCTATCTAGTCATAACCTACTTTAATGTGAAAATGGTACATTACAGCATTAGCTACAATGGTACAGCTAGAATAAGCATACTTTGCTCTTCATGAGCACAAGATGGCCCTGCTTGGGGGGAACTGATTGAAGGGTGTTTTGTTGACTGGGTGTGGTGGTTCATGCCTGTAATCCCAGCACTTTGGGAGGCTGAGGTGAGTGGATCACTTGAGGCCAGGAGTTCAAGACCAGCCTGGCTAATATGGCAAAACCCTGTCTCTACTAAAAATACAAAAATTAGCCAGGCATGGTGGCCAACGCCTATAATCTCAGCTACTCAGGTGGCTGAGGCACAAGACTCGCTTGAACCTGGGAAGTGGAGGTTGCAGTGAGCCGAGATCCCACCACTGCACTCCAACCTGGGTGGCAGAGCGAGACTCTGTCTCAGAAAAAAAAAAAAAAAGGGAGGTGTTTTGTTTATTTGGTTTATTAGGCTTTTTTACATTTACAAGGAGAGGGTATTAGCTTTTTACTTGTCATTCTGAACTCTCAGTTCCCCAAAAAGATGTTGAGTAATGGGATTGGGCTGGGCAACTTAGCAAGACCCCATCTCTAAAAAATAAAATTTTTATTTTTTATTTTTTCCTTTTTTTAATTTTTTATTTATTTATTTATTTATTTTTTTTGAGACAGAGTCTCGCTCTGTCACCCAGGCTGGAGTGCAGTGGCTGGATCTCAGCTCATTGCAAGCTCTGCCTCCTGGGTTTACGCCATTCTCCTGCCTCAGCCTCCC